CACATCCAAGGTTACAACACTACGATCAAAATTTATCGACAACAAGAATAATCGTCATAATCGTCCGATTAAAATGTGAAATATCGTTTCAATCGAAATAATGTGTGTGTGTAGCTAGGAATGGCTCGTTTGTTGGAGGACGCGCATTGGTTGTACGAGAAGGACGTGTCCTCGGTTCTGTTCCCGAGAAGTTACAACCTGAGCAGGGAGCCGAAAATCTTTCTCGAGGATTTCCGTTTAACGGCCGCGGCGGGCCTCTTGAAATGGTTCGTCGAGAAGATGCAAGATTGCTGCGAACAGAATTGTTGCAACTTGTGCGGCCACCGGCCGATCCTCATAAACCGGCTCGAATTCGCTATGAAACGTTGCGAGGAGTTCATCGCGTGCGAGAATCATCAGAACATCGACGAGGACATAGTGACCGAGTTCACCGAGGAGGAGTGGAATTCCTTTCTCGACGATTATATGGCGGTTGTGCACGAGGGCGCTGGGATCGAGACCAACGAGAAGTATCAAGACCAAATACAAGTACGCCCTCTCTATTTCCTCTCCTCGCGTACAAAAATCTTGGAACGAATTTTTGATCGAGTGTGCTACTGTTTTCTTTTTTTTCTTTTCTTTTTTCTTTATTTTATTCAGAAATACGTCGAGATGGCGAGTTCGATATTGGCGAAAATGAAGGAGGTCGACCCGCAGTACGAGTTGAACGGGATGAGGAACATGTGGATTTTGAAACCGAGCGAGCTTTGTTGCGGTACCGGGATCAGCATATCTCACAACTTGAAGGATATATTTCGCAAGATAAAAAGTCGGCCCAAGGATTACTTCATCGTTCAGAAGTATATAGGTAGGAGGTGGAAAGTAAAGTTGTTTATTAAATCTCGAGTCATACCTTCGACATCATTTTTTTAATTTCAGAGCATCCTTTACTGGTTCACGATACGAAATTTGATATAAGGCAGTGGTTCTTGGTCACAAACACGTTTCCTCTCACGATATGGATATTCAAGTAATTACATCCATGATACGATTTCTGATCTATTATATTTCAAAAAAATTAGCTGGGATTAGTTTGAATATTAAATCAGGTTGTAAACATTCTTCGTCATCCTGAAA